CCTCTGATCGCTGCTGGCCGGGAACAGAAATAGCGGTACCACGATTGCGAAGGCTGTCACTGAGGATAGCTCCTACAATGGCAGTAATGGTTTTGGTCTTTCCAGAACCGGGGGGACTGCGAAAGTGATTAGCATTTGTAGTAATAAACGTATCTGTGATGACTTACCCTTGAATCAAAGTGAATGCATCATTGTCAATAGCTGACTTGATGGCTTTCGCTTGTGCAGTGTTGACGTTGTAGTTGGAGATGAGCGGCTGGATCTGACTATCCTTGTAGGTAAGAAGAGGAGACGGCTTCGCCCGAATGATCTCGTCGCATAGATCATAGTACTGAAGACCCTTGAGTGCACCATATTCACGCTCCAGAGGAGTGATAGACTGCAGCTTGGTACCGAGCAGAGTATTGTTTGGCTGCAGCGCCGAGTTCAGCGGGTTTCCTGGTACGACGCGGTATGAGACTTCAATGTGTTGTTGCTTTCGCTTCACACGGAACACTCTCGCAAGGCAAGTCGGCTCCTCAGCCGAGGGATTCTTTGACTGCGAAAAAAGAATAATGTCACCTTCGGAGATGAAAACTTCCCTGTTCTCGACATGTGTCATGGTGCTACCAATCTCCTGGAACATGTCGACAGCAGCTCGCGACGTGATGCGTATCTCATATGGCCTGGCTTGGTTCTCCTCGCGAGCTTTGACAAAGCCTTGCCACGCTTCAAGGGTTAGAAGTGGCTCGAAAGTATTTTGGTAGTCGTTGGGAGTGCGGAAGGTGTTGAGAACCTTGGAATACAGCTCTGGTCTTGACTTTGGCGGAAAGTCACCCTCGTGAAAGTAGTTCCAGCTGAGGATAGTGCGGTGCAAGCTACTGAGATCAGGTGCCAACCGAGCACGCATGTCCTTGGCAGATCGTTGGGCCCTCTTCTTCTTCGTCGGCATTTGAATCTTGACTTCGTTGACAATGTTTGTTCTGGGTCCGGCCTTGACCTTCTCTTTCTTGATGCCAAAGAGATCTTCGTCAATATCTCCCTCTTCGTCTGAGGACTCATCAGATGAATGCATCAAGCCTTCGCCCTTTGCAGCCTGATCTTTGCCCAGGACTCCCAAGCCTTCCAGTCCAGAACCAGCTTCAGCGGTGATGCCCCTAGCCGCTTTGGCTTTGGCAACCGCAGCAGCCTTCTCCCTCTCGCGTTTCTCCTTGTCCAATTGCCGCTTGCGTTTGAACTCGGCTTGCGTAGCATTCTTCTTGTCTTCAGCTGCCTTTTGCGCGGCTTTTTCTGCAGCCTTCATTTGCTCTCGTCGCTCTTGGAATTTGCTAGATCCAGAGGTCATACTAGCAAGCAACTTGGCCTTGGCATCGGCGGGTGATGATGAAGCGGCACCAGGAGCCATCCATTTGCTGATGGAAACTTGCTTGGGCTTAACAGGCTCCTCTTCTTTGACAAGCGGGCGTCCGAGATGCTCCTCCAAAGCCTGTTGCAGCTCAGCCTGCTGCGTATCACTAAGCTTCGCGCGCACGTCTCCTGAGAGCACACGCTCCATGTACGAGAGCGTATCAGCATCAATCTCAATGGATACCCGATGTAACCGGACCAGAAGCTTGCTAATCAAGGTGACAGATTTACTCGACAAAAACTCGTCACGAAGACGCAGCCATCTTGCTAAGCCTTCCATAGCATTCGCGGGTCGTGCCAGGAGCTCTTTGAGCAACTGAGTTTTTGAAGTGGCCTCTTCATCATCAGAGGAAGGAGGTTTCAAGGCAGTTGCGAAAATGCTACACTGGTCAAACAGGACATCAGCAAATTGCATAGTGTCTCTGCAGAAATCCATCATCATGGACTTGTCGTAGAAGCCCAAATTACTCCAGGCTTCCGTCGTTGCAAAGATCATGGTGAGTGAGTCCCAAAGGTTCTCCCACAGGTTCATCGTCGCCGCGGCGTCTCCCGACTCGTATTCTCGGCCACGCAAGATACCGTCTTGGGTATTGCAAATGATGTCGATGATGTCGTTGCAGGTCCTGATCATACTAGGCACAGGGGAAAACGCCTTCTTTAACCTGACCTGTCGCACTGAATCTGAGATACCTCGCACGACATGCCTGTAATGGGCCTTTAGGATGTGTTGCAGTGCCCCACGACGCTCTTCTTCTCCACTGATGACCTTCAAAAGCTCAATAGCGGAGTTGCGGGTATCCTCTGTTGATGAGAACATCAACGAGACAATTGCACTGGCTGCGGGTTGTTGGCCAAACAGTGCTTGTAGCAAGTTGGGCTCAAATTCAGACATCTTCTCCACGACATCGGTAATAGATTGAGACAACAATCTAAAACGATCGTTGAAATGGCGCACCGTCGGGGGCACTTTGTCCACGCCTGACTTCATTTGCAGTGGTTCAAGGCCGATCAGGCCCCTCCCGGCAATGAGCATATGCGTTGCGAGCTCCAAGCTGTCGGGGCCTATCGCCCTCAAGACCGTCTTCCAGATGGGACTGGACGGTGGTGTCTCAGTGGGGGATGGCTGCTTCGCAGATATCAACTGCCTCTCAATGATCAAAGACTGTGCCTCGAGCTTGAAAGCATGCTCAATGACCGAGAGTGCTAATTGAAAGTCCCCCTGGCTTTCTTTACTGCTCTTGAAACGCTTCAAGTTCACGACAAGTGCCTGTATGTAGGTAGATAGTACGTCAAGCATGCTGTTGACCGTGGGCTGGCCAACAAATCTATCAATAGTCTTGCCTTCTCCCATTTTGCGGAATGCATAGTCCAGTACTTTAAGACCTTCCCTATAGCAATATTCCCGAGACTTTTGCGGGTACTTGTCTGATTGAAAGCGGCCAAGGAGCGCTTGAGCAAAAGGCCGAACCGCTGGTCCAAGATTTGCCAGCTTGATTGAGTCAAGAAAAGGCGGTATCCAGCCAAAGGCAGAATGAAGATTATTCATATTCTGCTCTTTATCTTCCGCCGCTGCTAGGAGTATTTGGTTGAAAACAGGACTGTTAAACACTTGTTCAACCACTGTTGCAATAGACGGGGTAACCGCATTCATGCCATCCCAGTAGTCGACTGGAGACTTTTCGAGCAGTTGCTTCATGGTCGCAATCAAGTCCAAGAAGCCCTCTGACTTCAGCGAAAGGTGATCGAGCATCAGCCGATAAAAATCTCCGTCTAGACCTCGCAAGGATTCTGTAATGAGATGTCTGTCCATCTTTGCGACTATGAGCCGCGCGCCACTCCAGAAAAGAGGTACCATGGAGATGTCGAGGTTGTACATCTGAATCTTCATCATGGCACTTGTGACATAGTCCCGCACAGCCCAATCCCACTCAGACTTCAACATATTGCGCTTAAAAGTAGACCACGACTCTGTCGCCCATTTTTGACGCCGTTCGACCCGGCTGAATAAGAAGCGCGTCATGGCTGGAAGGTATGTCTGGACCTTTAATCGTTTCTTCGTTTGAACCATGTCAAAGGGAGCGTCAAAGTGTTTCTGGAGGAGCTCCTCGTTCCGTATTAGTGCATCGCAGCTCAAGGCTTCGAAGAAGCCATAAGTGCATTCGTTCGGCAGTAGTCGTACTGAGCGTGTTTTCGGTTCGGCTTTACGGAGGATCTCAGCCGCCTCATCCAGGCCCTTGTGTATGCGTTGCAGGCATTGAGCATCCACCACCTCTAGGAATGGGCCGATGTTCTCCTCATCATACGAGTCGAGCAGACGTGTCCGCCACTCGGCCCTGGACTGATGAAAGACCCTCACACAGACATCGCAGCTCTGCATCAGGTGGTTGAGCCAGCTAATCAGCCATTCCTTGTGTGGTGCTGCTTCCTCTCCATCAAATGCCAGTATCTCCGTCGCCTTGAGTGCCGTCCATTTCCGCTCCTCGGCTGCTTGAAGCTTTATCCTACGATCTTCGAGTTCGGCGGGGTCGGTCTCCGGTGGGTAGGCGGCAATGTCTTCGTCGTAGTAAACAGACCCATCGTCACCGATGCGGGGACAGAAGAGATGCTGGTCTTCAGGCAGCTCTCGGAGCTCGCTGCAAGTAGCCAAGTCAGTCATGGCTAGTCAAAGTGCACGGAGATGATTGAGGAAGGAACACATGGCGCAGGCTGGTGAATAAATAGACTGCGACAAGTGAGGGCACAAGATGTAAGGTTTCTGCGCGTCTCACTACTTACTTTATCTTCTCGAGTATTTCCGCCATACTCTCTCACCAAGACGCTCACTTGGGACGGAATGCCCTTTCACAAGTCCCTATTAGATGCCAAGCCACAACCCAGCATTGAGCGCGCCCAAGACTCTTGTTCGCTTTTTCGTATGCGCACCTGTGTCTATCTACAAAGCGATGACCTATCGATCGTGCCAGGAACCGAGGTATGCACGCCCGCTATCAATTACCCGGTGCGCGGCACCGATTCTGGGTCAAACGTGCGAGGGCAGCTGTGGATTGCAAACTGGGGACTTGGAAATGTGTTGTCAAAGGAGCGTCGGTGAGAGAGCGGGTTCAGTGGAAAGAGGGTAGGGGTCGGGGGCGTCGGTTGCGACAGAAAGAAAGAAAAGGCACATATGATGGGACGTCAGTGCATTCGAACAAGGCCCCATGCGAACGCGCGACGCGGCCGGCCTCTGCTGCTAGCGCCCCGCGTCCGCGTTCCTAAGCTTGCCAAGCCTATTACGCTTCCTGTTCTATCCCCACAGCAACTCTTTTATCACGCATTGCACATGGACTTGAAATGAAATTCTCAGGTGGGGACTTTGGGGTGGGGATATCCTAATCAGGCAATTTCAGACGTCAGATATGAGCTCATGACACACACTACCAAAATTGCCATGTGTACCACACTTCTCCCCAGCATATTCTTACATTCTGGTTCTATCTAAACTGATTTGACGTTGAACTGTAATGAATCCAGTCTTCTCGTATTAAATCAAGGCAAACGTTTCGGTCATCAAAATATCAATACTGTACCACCCAGCACCGCCTAAAAGTATTCTACTCCCCAAACTACCATCCTATCTAACTGTCCACACCCTTCCCTTCAAGCACCTCTACGTGGCGCTCCTCCACCATACTATAGTCCTTTCGTGCGCTAATCAACCAATACGCACCCGAAAAGGAAGCGACAACAACATATACCACGGAAACGTCTATTTCAAATCAGCACAGTACACTCCGTTACGCATCCCAGCAAGAAAACTGGGTGAGAGACTTACAATTCATATTACCCGGCTTAACAGGTTTTGTATAAGGAAACGAATACATGATAAGCGTAAACAGTGTCCAGACAAGCAGCACAACGTTCGCAAGTGCGCCCCAGGGACCCAGCCAAAACGGGCCGTGTTCGATATTGCGGCGGCCTCGGATCAGGAGGCAGGAGACGGGGATTGCGTAGCTGATGTACAGAAGAACAATACACGCCGTGATCATTCTAGGACATATGCCGTCAGCTCAGTCGCCTAAACGTATACGAGAAGAAAGGAAAGTGACACTCACGAATTGAACGCCGTCTGCGACGCCAAATACAAACACCCCATCACAGCCACAACCGTACAACTCGCTGCATGCGCATACAGCGGTACATCAAGTACCGGATGCACCTGTGCCAACCACCGATGCCCCGGTACACCCCTATCGCGCGCAAAGCTCCAGCAAAGCCGGCTCTGCCACGTGTGACTCGCAACCAGACAACCCATGCCCGTGACGATAATCAAGCACTCCAGCGCAATAGCACCTGCGGCGTTATTCCTCAACGCACGGTAAAAGATCTCGAGGATAGGAACGCCAGTCGAAGACGCACTAATGTCAGAAAAATCCCCAACAATGGAAAAGAAAATAGCAACGGAGAAGAACCAGCTCGTCACCAACCCAATCCCGATAGTCCCCATGATAGCAATGGGGACCATTTTCTCGGGACGATGGATTTCCTCTGCGAGATGGGTAGCGCAGTCCAGACAGGCAAAGGCCCAATTGGTATTTACGAGGCCGACGATGAAGGCGATGCCGTTTTCGCTCCATCCCGTGTTGTTGATGAAGGTGGCGAAGACGAAGCGGGCGTGTTGGTGGGTTGGTGCTACGGCGGGGGCGGTGATGAGGATGACGAGGAAGGAGAAGAGGGAGATCCAGAGCGTGGTGCTGCCGATGATGGGCAGGATCTTGCCGTAGCAGTTGAAGAGGAAGCAGAAGAGGTTCGCGAGTTGGTAGGCGAGGAAGGCATGCCAGGTTTTGATCGTGCTGTGGATGCACACTCAGTACTTGTCTTTCCATCTCATCTCGTATACACATGTCTTCATCACATGACTTTCAATTCACCCCACATACCAAAACGAAAGCCAGGAAGAGGAGAATAGGGGAGTATTAGAAAAGAACTTACAACTCAGGATGCCCCAACTGCCAACATCCCACCAACGCGCCTCCAATAGCCAGCGCAACAGACGCACTCGTAAACATCGCCCCCCACCACGCCACCCACCCCGTTACATAACTCGCACCCCTCCTCCACCCCTTCGGCGCTAACATCCCCGCCCAAAAGTACTGGCCCCCCGCATTCGGCATCGCGCTCGCAAGCTCACTCAAACTCACGCCCACGGCCGTCGAAATCACCGCAATCAGCAAGATTCCGTAGATAACAAGCAAGGGGCCGCCAGAGTTGATACCCGTGATGAGCGCGGCGGAAATGCCGAACCACGAGTTTGTGATGGAAAAGCCAACGCCGAGCACGGACCAGACGGTGTATTTACGGCGCATGTCCTGCGTGTAGCCCATTGAGGCGAGTTTGAGGGCATCGGAGTCGACGGTGAAGAGGCCGGGGGCGGTTTCTGGGTCGGTGATGGCGGTGATGGAGGCATTGTGGGTTGGGTCCTCCTTTTGCGTTGAGGGGGCTGGGGGTTTGGTATCTTCGACTGAGGGCGTCATCTTCCCAAGTAAATAGCCTAGCAGCTAAGATAGAAGAAAGAAAAGAAAAAAAGGGAAAGAGGTGTTCCAGAAGAGACGAGTAGGTAGAAAAGCCAATGGATTAACGTCTACACGGCGAAGTCCTGGTAACACAAATGCTTTTATGTATGGTGCCAAGTGCGGGTTTGCGGAGAAGATGGGGGAGGAATCATTAAAGCTTATATGCCGGCTTGGAGGACGTGAGATCTCATTTTATAGGGTGCTTCGGCACTATTATGTCAAGGAGAAGAGCGGGGGAGAAGGCGGAGGGGAAGAAACAACTTGCAGATAAGCAAGTAGCAATCCATTTGTTGGACGAGCTGATAAAAGGAATTATACGTTTGTATTGGTTGGCGGAGCTGTGCACAACTTTCCGATCGCGCTTACTACGGCGTGTAGTGAGAGAATCCAGGTCCAGGTCCCCAAAGCACGACACTGGCCCAAATACTTGACTATATAAGCAAGGTGAGTTTGGCCACGGCTTGATATCAAGCGAATCCTAGCTTATGAACAAGCTGAAAGATGGACTACGCGGGTGGGTCATGCGACATGCAATCCTTCGATCGGGACCACGTGTCGTGGGCGTTTATCCCATGGTGCCTTTAACGCGCGGGTCTAGAAGAAAACAAACGTGTTGGATTGGTGGGAAACGCAAAAAGGTTCAACTAACACACGGGGCCGGCGATATCAATGGCCGGGAAGGGTACAGTGGTGATGTGAAAGAAATGGAGATCTGGGTGTCACGTTTGGTCCCCAGCTAAGGGCATTGGCTCTGGCGGAATGCGGGGATCGCTCAAATAGGAAAGAAAAATGCCCTGCGACGGGACGAAGGCGGCTGCCAGCATCCGAGCGGCAGAGTGACGCGTTATCATGGCACACAATCAACAAAGTACCCAGGATCTACACGCTACGGGCGTATAGACGCGTGAGATCCAGTCAAGTATACGAGACGAGCAGAGCTGGTGGGTCTGCGCAATCCATACTCAGACTTCCCCCTTTGGTTTCGAGAAGACCGTTGGCTGTGAGCACCGTGGGCAGGAAGAAAAGAAAGCGTACAAGGCGGAAGGCTTTCTTGTTGCACTACAGTGACACCGTGTGTATCTTTAAATGGAGAGGTTCAGCGGAGCGGTCCGTCATTGTGGCCTTGCGGTAGCTGGCAGGGAAGAAAAAAAGGCCAGCCCTATGGCGGCAGTAGTAGTCAATGTCAATAGAAAGACCTGTGGTCCGACACACGCCATGATTCTGTCTTATCAAGCAGTTACCTCGTCTAGGTATGTGCGTTGTTCGAAAAAGAAAAGAAAAGGACAAGACCCTGATCTTTGAGTGCTGATAATCTTCGTCTGCGCACCCATAGGGCTTTTCGTCATCCCCACAAAGCCACATTCGCCCGACTGTGGCGCTCTTTTGCATTCTCTCAAACACCCTCTTTATAGGTGCACGGCTCTTTGGTAAAGTTCCAAACTTGCCGGTGGCGGAAGCGCTCGCACCGATGGGCTGCCTGTGTTCCCCGTACGTGTACACCGACATCGTGCCACCATGTGTACTCGTATTGAAACAACAGGCCAAGATGATTGCTCCCCCTCCACCCCCCCCCCCATTTCAAATGTGTTCATGTAGCTGGGGTTTCTTGGTCGCCTCGAGTCCTCTTTGCGTATAGATAGGGCTTCACAAAAAGTGATGCATTTGCGGGTGTAACGGAACCTCGAGGTCGTTTTTTTGGAATCTGTGTTCTAAACGGACCGCAAAGGAAACCTTGCAACAAACCTTGGGCGAGTCGTGCACAAGATTAGAGGTAACGTTACATCCTTAGACCTCGTGTCGCGAGTGTAGTTTAGCAATAGTACTGTGTTATGGGTAGAGCAGTGAGAGAGATAGAGTGCGTGTAAGTAAGGCATGTGTGTAGTCACTCGTCTTGAGTTTACTGGGGCTACGTTGTGGATTCAAAAGGGTTGGTGAACAAGCCGACCAAAACATTCAACCGCATGATTAGATAGTACAGAGAGTTTGATGTTGGGGCAATGGGCACGTCATCTTCTCCCAGAAAGGCAAGTATGGGGCGACAAAACAGGAAGCAATGCCCAGACCAAACTAGGCCTACAGGGAAGTAGCGGCCCACGAGCGGACGGGACAAAAGTGAGAAGGTGGAGCATAGAGTGAATTATCGTACTGCATTCGACCCGATGCCATGGGCAGCGAGAGAGAGGGTGAGAGAGATCTGATCTAAACAGTACCTGCTAAATGAGACACCAAATGCTAGAGATGTCGAGGGTGACGGCAAAAAGAGATGAGAACAAAGAAAACACCACACCACGCCAATATCCGCGTAAGGACATACAGTCGTCCAACAAGTGCAACTGCATTTCTCTCCAACATTGCGTGCCCACATGACATCGTGCCACCGCTGCCGCTGCTGCCGCTACTACACTGCTGCTACCGCCATTGTAATGCGAAATTCCGCATCTCGTACACCGGTGCGACCGCTCGCCGAGCGACACCGTGATTACTTTTTTGCCATTATGTGGGTATCCATATCCAGTTACTATGCGCCTTGCGAGGAGTTGACCTACTACCGAACCGGTAGAAGTATACATGTATTAACGTCTAGCCCAGCTTCTGGTCCTGGGGATAGTGACCTCCAGGATGGCGGGGCATGCCTTGTTGCGCCATGGGGTACTGGTTTGACTGCTGCTGCTGTTGCTGCAGATAGCTCTGGTAGTGCAGAGCAGCCTCTGGGGTCATGTAGGCTTGGGGCATGGCCTGGTTGTTGGGGGGCATGCGGGGCTGGCCCGGTGGCACTTGAGCGTGGTTGTCCTCGGGCGACTCGACCGTGTCATTGTCGACACCGTTTGCATCACCACTTGAGGGCTCTGGGGCATTCAGGCAGGCCTGGGGGTGTGTGGTTAGGAATGGAATGCAAAGGGGAGCAAGAGTAGCCTTACCTGGATGAGGTTCTTGCCCTCGGGCTTGGTGACAAGCGGTTGCAGCTTGGGTGTGGTAAACGTGTAGACAAGACCTGTCTCAGAGACAACGAGCAGCAGAACTTGGGTTCCGGTGAGAACGGATAATTCGTAGGCCTGCGAGGGTTGGCACGGTCAGCAAAAGAAGGGCTTCTTTGTGGATGCGCAGGTGGGGAGTGCTAGGTGGATGCGTGTGTGCGTGTATGTGCAGGCTGAGTTCGCGCGGCGCGCACAGGGACAACAAAAAAACGGGCGGGTTTTGACGAGACCTACGTACCTTCTTCATGATACCAGCCTTGCGCTTGGAAAAGGTAATATGCCGACGCGACTTGTCCTGGATGAACTTGATTTCAATCTTTCTTCGCTCGCGGCCGGGCTTGTCGTCGTCGTCGTCATCGTCGTCGGCAGCGGCGCGCGCACGCTTGACGCCGCGGTTCTCCATGCCGAGAGAGCCATTTCCGTCGTCGTGGACAGAGGGCGACGCGTTCTGGTCGTGCTCGGTGATTTCGCTGGCCATGATGGTTGTCGAGGGCGGCAGTGTGATGGTGGTTGCCGGCAGTGTTTGGCGGACGAGGGCCCTAAACTGGATGCGGCGGAGTGTGGGGAGTTGGCAGGCGTTCTTGCGTGGTTTGGGCGGGCTTGCAAAATGTTACAGAACGAACTGCAGACAGGTTGAGTTTGGTTAGACTCAAAGGTTGACCTCAATAGGAAAAGGAAGCGCGGCCTGTTAAAAGATCGGGCGCTGGTCCCTATGTGATGGCGCAGCAGGAATGGCAAGGAAAGGTGCGCGGGGAGGGCACGCTCGGTCGCACGGTGCTGCCGGCGGAAAGCGCTAATTACTCGGCGAGCCGTGCGGCAGGGAGTGGCTGGGGGGGGTGCCAGCCAGCGTGACCACACTGACCTGCGCGACCGGGGTGTGAGGGGCCAGGCAGGTGCAGCCCAGGCAGGCAGGCAGGCCAGGCCAAGGGAAAGGGAAGGGGAGGGCAGGGTAGGGGTGACGGTTCGTGACGGAAAGTACGCACCTCGTTGTGTGACCTTTTTTTCCTTTTTTCCTTTTTGTCCTGGAACTCTTTTTTTTGCGGCGTGTTGCTTTTCACGCGCGCCGTTGGGAGATATAGAGGTGGTGGTGGATGGGTGTGTGGAGCGAGGGCAACAGTGTAGAATGGGCGGGCGTGTGTGGTTCTCGTGACCCTGCCTTTTCGCTGTGGGGGGGAAGCTGGGCCGCGGTATGCCAGGCGCGGACACGCAGGGACAGAAAAGAGTGGTGCAGCGTCGAGGTGTTAGGTATAGCCCGCGAGCTGTCTTGAGAAGGAAAGGGACGAACGGGATTGGGAATGAAACGGCGGGAGTGGTCAAGTATTTCTCTGGACGGCTGCTTTGGCTGCTTTGGTGCGGGCAGGCCGTCAACTACCCACTGGCAACTGGGGGCGGATGCCGCTTGAGCGTGACCCTGGTCACTGCTCTGAATCGCAGATCGGAACAGGAATCGCTGTCCTGGTGGCGGGCTGGCTGCAAACGCAACCAGCGACCTGCGGGCCTGCTGGCTGGTGTTGTGGTATCTATTATCACCATGACGGCCACGACTGTCGCCATGGCTTCCTACACAAGTTTGTGTCGATGAGCGGGCATCGGGCAGGCAGAGGGCCAGTACGGCGTCTGGACCAGCTGGACCTGTCAGGTCGCTTTTGGAGATGAACAGCAACGGCCCTCCCACACAAAAACAGCGCCGCCCGTGAGGCCGAGGGCTGCGCTAGACGCCAGCTGGGCACGGCCCGGGACTTGCAACGCCCGCCATTGGCTGCTTTGCGGCGCTAGTCCCGCTCAAGTCAGATTGACGGTCAACTGGTGAATGTCGGTTGCGCGCCCTCGGGTCGGCCTATACTTGCAAGACACTCACAGACACACGACGCACGACGCTCGACGCACGACGCACGGCTTACTCACCCAACTACGCTCGACTCTCTGGCTAGGGCGTGTATGAGAGAGAGTGTCGCTGTCAGGACTAACTAAGTAGCTAAGGGCCCGTCGGCCTCGGATTTAGCATGATTAGCACCACGGGCTACACCTCTTACTACCCACGACCATGCATGCATGCCACCTACCTACCTAAACCCCCGAATGGCGATGCAGATGGGCGGCCCTTGTGCATGCAGCCCCATCCATCATTCCATCGCGCCTCCCTTGACGACAGCTGCCACCGACTGCCACGGCGGCCGACACTTTGCTTGGTGCAGTTCCAACGTCCCGAGGCGGCCCTGTGTTTGGACGGTGCAGCTGCTTGGTGGGCCCCCTCGACTGGGAAGCCGCGGCCTGCATCGCTGGGCAAGCACCACCCTTAGCCTCCTTCCCCGTGCGGTCTCGTTTCGCCAGCTGCCCGGTCTAGCCTTCCTCGCCTGCTGAGCGCCTTCCCTCGCCCTCGCTGCACTGTTGGTGGCGCCTGCCGCCTGCACATTTCCCACCCGCCAGCCGCCCTCCAACAAGCCATCCGTCGCCCACTTTTCTTACTTTGCTTCACTCTTAGCTACTTACTTACCTACTTACTTACTGACCCACGTGACCCCCACTCCGCTGCCGCCCCATCACCGCCCATCCATCCACCCACCTACCCGTCTACCTATCCATCCATCCATTCATCCATCCATCCATTGATTCTTCATGTATTTCATACATACGCAAACCCTCATGTCGCATCAATCACCCAGCTCACCATACGTCCTCTTGCCTGCTCTACTCCCCTTCTCTAGCCGCACCGACGTCGCAAGCGCCAAAACATCGAACCACAATGCCCGTTGTCGCGTTCCTCATTGGCCCCACGCTCTTGCTTCCAACACTACTGAAACCTCACACGCATCGTCATGTCTGCAAACTGCAACACAACCCCTCGCAGAGCCTCTTAACACACCCCTAATGCCGTGACTTTCGTCTTTGCTGTTTTGTGACGCCACTTTTTTTTTGGGCTTGCGTGTGCTTTGCTGGTCGTGCTTTCTCTTTCTCCCCTCTCCTTCTTCTCTCTCCTCTTACATCTAATCCTTCCTTTACACCCGTCACTCACTCACTCGCTCGACGCAGTGGTTAGCCATCACCGAGTACGCCGGACGAACTCTGTTCCATTCTCTGTTCCTATTTTCCTCTTCTTCTTTTTTTTGGTTTCTCTTTTGAGGTCTTGCAGCCTTTCAAATCCACTCACTCTTAACCGTATATCCAAACCGCCAAGATGCCGACCAAGCTGATGATGACGTTTGTGGGCATGGACTTGCTATTTGCCGGCTGCGGAGGGTTGTTGCTGGGCTTCTCCCTCATCTCTGAGCAATCGATGCGTGCGAGTCCTACGGTCGATAATGTCACTAAGAACTTGCTGCTTGGACAGTGTCCCTTGACAGGTACGGACCGATCCCTTAGTGAACAACCATTGTGACATTTTGATCAACGGATCTATCAATCTTGAAACTACTACAACGACAAGGACATGAACTAACAATGTATTCCTAGCCGGTGTGGTCAATGCCATCTTCGTCTTCGTCACCTTTCTCCTCTCCCTTCCCGGCCTCTTCCTGCCCAACAACAGAGGCTGGCTCCGCATCCAAGGCTGGCTCGTCGTCGTCTGTGCTACCTTTACTCTGGGTCTCGGTGTAGCCATCTGGGTCGAAACTCTCGAGACGCGCAGGAACCTCAGTGCCCTCTGGGGAAGGGAGACTCCACTTATCCAGTCTCTGTTGCAGCAACGTGTAAGTTTCTTATGTATCATTTATATATGGACATGAGACTAATATAAGACAGTTCGACTGCTGCGGCTATGTCAATTCAACTACCCCGCCCTTCGTCCAGGACAGCACCTGCCAAAACACGCTCGTCGCCGCGCAAAAGGGTGGCTGCATCGGCAAATTCTCATCCTTTGCCAACAAGTACCTCGATCAGATCTTCACCGCTGCCTTTGGTATCGTCGGTGTCGACGTCATTCTTGTCCTGTGCATTGCCATGGTGCTCAAATACCGTATGGAGCAGGAGCGCTACAGGCACATTGATGAGAAGAATGGGTTTGGTGGGTTGTAAGGTCGTGCAAAGGGGGGTTTGGGGAAGAGGGGTGAAGTGGGAAATATGAGCGAGGAGGGGTAAGGGGAGGGAAGAGAAGGTGAGAGACAGTGTGGGAGGAACATCTTTCCATTCCTTCTTTTCTTTCCTATCCTTAACCCCTTCAAGCCCTCCTTTTTCCTTTCTCTCTTCCTTCCAGATGTTGTAAATTGGGGGGGTGTTGCAAGTGGAAGAGAAGCATTAATAAAAACAGTGTCTCAGCAGCGCTGAACAAGAACTCTGGGGTTTTAAGTATCATATTCTTCGTTTCTTTTTTTCTATTTGCTTTTACAACGTCGTGGATCGTCTTTTTTCTTTTCTTTTTCATATAGATATACTAGCTGAAGCTACGTAAGCGGGGTCCTCCTTTTTTTTATTTTCCTTGTACATAAAAAGGCTGAGAATCAGAGTATGGTCTTTACACTCTTTGGAACGTGTGTATACCGGTTCATTGAACATGTGATTTGTCTGTCAAGCTGCGTCTGGTTCGCATGGAAAAAAAATGAAATAAGTGTAATGTTTAGTATTGTTTTTTTTTTAAATTTTTACGTTGAAGAGAGAGAGAAAAAAATGGATTCTGTAGTTTGATGTTTTCTCTTCTTCCATCCTATTTCTGCTTCTCATTGTATTTTTATCTTCCAAGTGTATGTATGCTCACGAGAATACTACTTTGTCGCCATTCTCATGCTATAAGTTCTAATACCCCAAGCCCTTGGAGGTTTTCCTCTCACTCATTCATGATTTAGTGACATGTGGGAAAGTAGCAATGCTATTTTTGGTTGATGCTACACGGGAGATATTTTGCAAGAAAACCGCACAGTATAGTATATATATATATTTTGAAGTTGAGTATTTGTTTAGGAAGTTGATATAATGTCACTCACGTGCGTTTGCAACGTCAAGACAAGAAGAGTAGAATATCCATCAACTCTATGCCATTTTCCGATCAATAGTATTCTCAGATTTAACAATATTATCATCTTTTCTCGATATATCGTTCTTCATCTGCAATCTGAGCATACCACCTCTCAAACCACCCCCCTTCCCCCCCAACGACGTGCAAGAACCATCCATCCCCGTCTACTAACCCACAAAAACGCACAACTCCCCCCCCTCCCCCCACTCCCCTCTCACAAACCCTCGATTTCACATGTCACCGACCATGCATCCAGTCCAACACGCCACCCTTCCTCACTTCCCAAACCGGACAAGTCATTTCGGAGAGAAAGAGAGAGTCAGTGTCAGAAGGGGGGGGGGGATAATGTTACAAAGCCTCGCCCGCATGTTGGTACCCGAACTACCCACTCACCCACCCGCTCTCTCTCTCTTTCTCACACACACAAAGCGTACTTCTTCCTTACTACCCTTACCCTTGCACCAATATTCCGACGAGCGCTACTACCCAACCCCCCACACCCATGCATGCCCGTTATTTCCAAAATTTTATGCCTTGTGTTACTTTTACTTTTACTTTTTACTGCGCGCGGGGGGGGGGTGAGCGCCAAACAAGGTCGCGCAAAAGGAAAGATTCTTTCAAAAAAAAAGAAAAGAAAGAAAAAGGGGAGTGAAACCGTGTAGTGTTACTTACACTTACAATCAAGATCTCTCTCTCTCTCTCTCAATGCGGGTTTCTTTTTGGTAAGTATCTGATATTGACAAGGGGGAGAGGGGGGGGGGGCTTGTTAATTATCATCACCCCACTCCCCACTCCACACACATACACACGGCCAAGAAAAGAAAGAGAGAGAGAGAAATTAGCGGCGGGAAGGAGGGGAAGGGGGGGGGAAAGGGAAGGTTGCATAATAAATCAATAAGTCCTTTTTTTCCCTCTTCTCTTTCTCTCTTAAAGCAGACAAGGGTAAAAATGCCAAGGGGGGTAAGGGTGTAAGAGATACGGAAAATACGGAAAATACGTTGACAAGTGGATGGTGGGCATTTTACGAGATTCCCTTTCGCTCTCCCCCCACCAGCACGTGATTGGAGGGGAGGGGAAATTTGAAGAGTCAATGCAAATAAGCGTGATTTTTGTTTTTCTTTCTTCTCCAGGGTACTAAGTACTACAACAAACGGGAACTAAAGCAATGCAATGCAAAAAAAAAAGAAACCCCCTCCCCAACCTACACACACACACACATATCTACCAGCGACTACTTACTTACTGAGTAGCAAAACCTAGCTTGCATGAATAAAAAGGCCGTCGTCTCGCCAGCAAGCCACCCCCCCCTTCCCCTCCCATGCAGTGTGACAGGCGACAGGCGACAGACGGACAGGAACGAAGCTTGAACATTTTTGGGAGGTGAAGACTAGATGTTGCATGTTGCACGGTGCAAAAGTGGGGTTTCATCTAGCCCTGTCTTGCAGATATTGGCTTGTCGCGGGACCAAGCGAAAGGGGGGGGGGTGCGTGTGGAAACGTTTGAAGAAAGAAAAGTGAAAACGAGATTTCCTTTTTCAGGCAGAGGAAGCGCGGTTGGGAAGAGAGAGCCTCGTATCTCTGTCTCTCTTTCTGTCTTTCTCCATCTTTCTAGACCGCCTTGGCAATATCGCTTCCAAAGGAAAATCCAAGGGCTTGCGTGCATGAAATGAGCCCCCGTTCCGAAAATCGTCGCAACCCTTTTTTGATGAGGGTGGGCTCGGGCGACGCGGGGATGCGACACGCACCTGCTGCTGCTCCTGCAGATCCCCCTGAGAGCGTTGCGTGGAACCCGACCGTGCCAAGCGCTGAGCCGACGACGGTGGGAATTGCTTCTGATTGAGGGGTGCAGGGGGTTGCTGCCATCATGGCGCAACTTGTATGAATGAGGTTTGATTGCTGGTCATGGCTGACGGCATACTTTGGGAACGTGGGGTCTGGGAGTAATAGCGCCCGAACAGCGAGCTAGGTTCAAGTCTGTGTGGCATCGACCAAGTCAAGATCAGACTCTTCATTCTGCTTGAAGATGCCGCGCGAGAGTGCAGATGCCGATGGCTTGGGTGCCTTTTTGAAAAACTTGCCGAGCCGGAGCTGGCTGTCTTCCTCGTCGCTCCCAAAAACGTCGTGAATCTTCTTGCCGCCTATTCGCGACGCGTGTTCCAATCGTGCGCACATTCGCTCTATAGAGTTTTTGGTTTCTAGAATGGCAATGTCCACCACCGCACCGGCTTCGACAATAGAATTGCCCAGGAGCTTGATTTGTTGCGCAAGTGCATCGATCTGCTCGTTAAACTGCCTGACCTCTGACGAGGCCGGCACGGGAGCTTGAATTGGAGAAGAGCCTACTTCGGATGGCGCTGAACTTGACAACGGCTGGTACGGCACGGCCAAAAGTCCTGGTCCAATGGCGATGTCAAGAAGCGCCAGCCGGGCGGCGAGATGGCCATAGTCAGTATTCTTGTTTATGAAAAAGTCGGGCGATTTTGCAACGTGGTCAAGTACAAGGTTATGTGCCGTGTGATCTGCAAGAGACGTGCTGACTGGTATGGGGTGAAGCAGGAACGAAAGAGCCAGATGGCGCTGCAGGTATGCGGTCAATGGACACTTTGCTGGAAGGGCGCAGGTCAAGTTTCTCTGTAATACGGGATGAGTGACTTTGGTAAGTAGTTGGGGTATGATTGTGTTGAGCTGGGAGGCGATTAGAATCGGTACATCGTCTTGTGGAGGAGGGCCTTGTACGCCTGATATCAGCTTGTTGTTGTCGGCGAAATTGCACATGATGGCTTCAATGGCGTCTTGTACAGCATGCAGAATGTCAAAGTCTGCGGTAACACGGGTATCCAAGCATACATGACATAGCAGATATAATGCGTGGCTGCGAGTGGCTGTTTGCAACCTATGCACGTCAACGACGATGTTTTTTTTTTTCGTCAGAACCTCTTGTGCTTACCATGGCGCGGCTCGTGTAAGCAGTCTCGTGATTGGTTTCAAAAATGGCGGAATACATGTTTTGATTTCAGATTGCGGAACAGATTGCGGAAGCAGCTGAGTATTCGTCTCGAGTTGTGTGATGTTGGTGCCTATGGTTTTAAATATGGCGTCGAGTCTTTGTGAGTCGAGTAGGTCATGGAGATGGTCATGGTGAGCCTGGCGAATGTCAGAAGTTGTTTTGCATTGAACATGGGTAGGACGCCACCTCGAGGATTTCAAGGTACTTGCAATTAAGCGCCTCATTCTGGTTACAGCAAACTGCAAGGATTAGTGGAGAAAAAAAAAGAAAGAATAAGAATGAGGCGGTGCGCGTACTTTGATCAATCATCCAGGAGGCCAGCTCTTTAGGAAGCTCTTGGACGCGGAAAATGTGCTGGGCAAAGCCGGTCATGAAAGCCTGGTCTCTGGTGTCGGGCCGCTGGAAGTTTGAAGCCCAGCGATGCTGAGGAAGTATATTGATGGGGAACTTTTTCTGCATGGGAATCGCGTCTACGTCATTTTCAAAAAAGTAAAAGACGGGTTCCATTTGCGTAGCATTTGTTCTCTGCATGGCTTGGAGGAGCCGATGGGCTTTGTGCGGGTCATGGTCGTCATCTTGCACGGCCTGACCGAGCGTTTCCTCGTTGATGGTGATTGGCGTGGTCACTGTCTCCTCCACAGCCTTGTTGAGCACGGCTTTGTGCTCCTGGATCTTGCGCTCAGTCTCGAGGTTCTTCTGGGCCGTCTGGACTAGGCTGTCAAACTTTTTCTTGTCATCCCTGGCCTTCTTGGTGGGTATGCGTAGTCCGTCTTCATCGTTGTCGGAGGTGCGCTTGTATCGGGTGGTGATTGTGGCCGTCTTTGGGGGGTTGGGCTTCGGGGCAGTGATGCCGAAATCGAGATCGGGCAGCGAATCATCATCGGAGTCTGAATTGAGCACGACCTCTGTACCATTGGAGGTAATGCGCCTGGTGGTGGTGGTGGTGGTGGTGGCAGTAGTAGTAGTGGAGGCGGAGTGTGGGACTGGCGCTGTCTGCGACTGTGCGGGGATGTGTATATTTGTTTGCGGCGGGGGGGTGTGGGTGGTGCTGGGCGGAGCAGGAGAGAAGAAGTCGCGGATGCTTTTCTTGTGCGGCTTCATGGCTTGGTGGCTTGTGGGGTTATAAGTATATGGTGGCTAGTGGTGTATGGCTCCATGGCGGGGTGCAGTTGGGAGGCGGCGTCACGCGTCTGGGGGGCAGGCAGCTCTGGCACGGTGTCACGTGACAGGCCAGCGAAAATCAAAGTACTGGTATACAAGTACCAGCAAAGACGTCGGGGGCGGTGGGCGCTTTAGACCGAGGCCGAGAGACTAGGCCCGATTTGGGCATTGACGACATAGACTGGCCGGGCTGGCGCCTCAGCCGGCATCCGTGCCAGTATGCTCGCTGTTTGGCGCACACATGGTTTGGCAGCTAACGTCGCAGGCTGTCTGCGTTCCGGGTGTGTGGGCAGGGCTGGGGCTGAAAACAAGGCTGTTTGGAGGGGTTTGGCTGACTACGGGGTGCTACAGAGGGAGTAGGTAAGTATGTGTGTGTGTGTGTGTGGGTGTGGGTGTGTGGGTATGCTATTTGTGGACGGGGACCAGTGCAACGGCGAGAGCGGCGGCATGGAGCAGGCCCAGAGCATGGCAACTCGGGCAGAGTGAGAGCAGAGCAGCGCAGAGCAGAGCAGCAGCACAGACGGACTCGGACCCGACCATCTCCCGCCTCGAGTGGAGTCGGGGAACAGAAGGGACAAATAAAGGGCGAAAAATGACGCGCGACGTGGTGGCTGCCCGCGTCAGCCAACCAGGCCGGTGCTGACTGAGACGGCGGATGCTGATGGCATGGCTGACTTTTGGTCCATGGATGTCTAAATGCGTACTCTCACTCTGTCCATGGTGCATATCCATATTGCACATTGATAATGCAGACTCGGCACAGCCGTGGGCTTACTACAAGCCATGGACTAAGCAAAGTATCGGCACCGCCAGTCGTATTCTTATTCTGGCCATCTGGCAAAGACGGGCCACGCGTCACCAAATGCCATGGCCTGCCGCCCGTCGTTGGTACGCGGTGCTTCGGACGGTCAGGTCGCAGGGCGGACCTCCGGAAACAAGAGGCGACCTAGCGCCGCAGCAGCGACTGCCACTTGGGCGAGCCCGTAGCGGCCGGCCGAGCAAAAAAGAATGGGGCGTGTGCTTCCCTTCCCGCATCGCTGCCGGAGCTGTTGCTGCTGCTGTTGTACTGTATGTAAGCAATCAGCAAAGCAAAAGCCCACAGCAGAGCACACACACACACGCACATAGACACGCCTGCCACGACAGCCAAGCCAGCGCAAAGCAACGCACCCCGTCAAGGGTCTGGCAAAGCAACAATAACGTACTGGCGCTCTCTGCCCCCATTTCCCCTCCTGCTTGCTTGCCCTGCGTCTTGCCAGTTGCTGCCCTCCCAAGTCGTCGCCCCCCCTCGCCATTGCACCCGTATTGAATCATTCCCATTGTGGCACAGCCGCATAATCCCTCTCCGGCTGCGCGCCGCGCCCAGCCTAAACTACCGTTTGGTCTTGTAACCGCTGTTTCTCGTCCGCCGGCTTCTAATATCCGCGCCGTCAACCACCCATCTGTTCTCACCCTCCCGCCACAACAACAACAACCTCCACCACCACCACCCCACCGCCCTTCCCCTCCCCGACCGCACGTCCGCTGCCACATGTACTGAACCCATCGCCACGCCCATCTCCCGTGCATAGCTCGAATTGGCTTGCACCACCGCGTAGAGCCTTTCTGGCTCAGGCTGCCGCCTCCCCTGCCGTTCCGCAGCTCCCCCAACGACAAGCACCATGACGCTGCAAAACGAGCCCGACGAGACAGAGGTCTCGCATCCCCAGAAGCGCATCCGATGTGAGTCGCCTGCCTGCTTGCTCTTGAACCCGCTGCTTACCGCCCACCCCGGCTGCGACTTGTGCTGACACTGCTCGTAGGGGCCACACATCGCGCGACGGGCACAAAGGCTGCCATCAAGCGAAACTCCCTCAAGGAACGCCTGCACCGGCGCATAGGCTCGGGAGGAGAGAAGCGATATTCGCTCGGCAAGGAAGACGGTTCCCAGCACGGCGACCAGTCGGTCGAGGGTTCAGATGACGTCGACCCCGAACTCGACGAGAACGAAGGAGGTCGCAAAGTCTACTTCAACGTACCCTTGCCCCAGAGTGCGCGCGACGAAGAAGGCCACCCCCTCGAATCATACGCCCGCAACAAGATAAGAACCGCCAAATACACGCCTCTCAGTTTCATCCCAAAGAATCTGTGGTTCCAGTTCCACAACATTGCCAATGTCTACTTTTTGTTCATCATCATTCTGGGTGTATGTGTTTTCGCCCATCCGCTCCCTCCTCCCC